CTCAAGGGATAAACCATCAATCCTGCTCAATGGTCAACTTTCCTCGCGGGGTCACACCCATTAGGACAGTGGGAGGGTTAAACACTGACAGAAAACGGTTTCAGGTATTTTTTAATCACATTTGGAGTGTTAATAGAGGTAGTAGAGACCCACATGGCAGCACAAAAGCAAAGTTTTGCATGACATGCCCCTTTTATTGCCCAACAATGGTGGTGCATTTTCACAATCATTTTGCTTACAATAACTCGACTCAACTTTTATTTATATAGTGCCTTAAAGGCAAAAAGCATGTCACCAAGGAGCTTCACATAAAAGCATGAAAAGCATTGGGTCAAATAAAAGAAGAATAAAAACAATGGATCAGATAAACGGACTAAAAACACAAAAATGTAAGGAAACCCTTTAAGTAATAACAATAAAACTAATTAGAAAGATTAAAAGACAGATCATAAAAATAGGTTTTCAGCCTTGCCTTAAAAACCACCACAGAGGTGGAGACCCTTATGCTGAGAGGAAACTTAGGACCTACCACGGCAAAGGCAAAATAGAAAAATAATTATTTCGCCTGAAACTGTCTGACTCCTCAACATTTCACCATATCACGCCTCTCTGTAAACATGAAAACTGACCAATAACGAGAAGAAAACTAGAGATTAGCTTTCCTGCTCTTCTTTCTTCCTGCATGATGCCCGTGTTAGTCACTTCTATGTGATGAGGCAGAGGTTTTTGTAACGTCACTGTCGTAATGACTAATGTTGCTATTTTCAGCCAGAGATAGGCCAAGTGCTGCAGAAGTGAAGGCACCTTTTTCCAACTCTGCACTTTTTCATACCTTTATTATGAAAATCCCTTTACATTTCCCCTTAACACCTGTAAACACACGTGTTACAAGATCTTCACATTTCACTAGAAACACGCTCACCATTATTTTCACTAAGCTAGGATTGTTTTTTGTTTCAGCACCAAGGTAAGCAACCATTGAACTAAATTTGCTCTTTAGAATGAATGTATCTCCAGCATTTGACAGCTGCAGGGTCAACTTGAAACACATTTACTGTACAAATCCAAGACATAGATAAAAGGTGGAGGATTACAGAAAAGTGTGACAACAGAAGTCTTGTTTAAGTTTTTCCAGCAGCAGACATGGGGTTGTCACGGTACGATCCGGTGATGTTCTCCTTCTCCCTCTGCAGTCTAACCACAGCTCTGGATTAGCATTCCTCCGCAGTCAACCATGATAAGCACAGATTATTCTTTACACGGCATGCTAAAGCAACACCGAAAGGTTATCGGCTCTCTTCGGACCTGACCAGGGCTGCTGCTCCTGCCTGCCCATGATTCCCCCGAGGCAGCACATTGTGCAGCACCACAGCACGCTTGGCAAATTGAAAGAGAGGAACTTCAATTCGATGAATGACCACAGGAGAGCTGAGGGTGGAAGGGGAGAGGGGGAAAATGAAAGGCCTTGTGACATTTTTCCTGTGAAGGTTTCCTGGTTCAGACCTTGTTAACGGCTGAATTTTGTCTTTCGAGTGTCCGATTCTGGCTGTTTTGTGATATTTATCAAGCAGTTTGCTGGTGTGTCGTGCATAAATCTGAATAAAATATTTGTTTTATCCTCGGCAAATAAGATATAACAACAGATCAGAAGAAGATGTGACAACGTTTGTCTGCTTTTACAGGAGATGCAGAGGTGGAATAAAACAATCTCCAAACCTGTCAGCACCAGCTTATAAAGGACTAAAGGTTTACAACTAGATTTGGAGACAGTGGTCATTATGGCATCACCCTGAGAGTGGAAGCCGGGAAATCTTAAGCGACCTTCCTCCTGACACAGCAATAGGCCGTGGTGAATTTTCACGGCCATCCGTCAGGTGCAACAAAGTGTAGATTTATCAGTCAGTTGCAGATGTAGTTTTGAGCACATTACAGGGCCAGCAAAACTCAATTTCCTGGGCAGAGAATAAAAGCTGAGCTGGCAAAGAGCTGGGATTGCTGACTAACGGTGGAGTGCATCAGCCCAGCCAGCAGAGATGCGGAGGCTGCGTGAAATAAACACTTTTTTTTCAACTCCTGTCACTTTCCTCGTCTTTCTTTCGTCACACCATCAATAAAAGCATGTGAGCTGATCTGTGAAGGCTTGATGAATCTTCCTGCTTTGGAACCTGATGAGAGCTGGTTGAGAATGACAGTGATATTGATAACCTCGCCAGCAACAGCAGCGAAAAACACGAGAGACAAAAAAAACTGTCTGGTACTGCTGCAGTTTAACTTTAACCTGTCTCAGTCCATCACATCCATCTCTCCTACATGCTGGCACATGCTTTTAGGGCTAAAACAAGGTTTATATGGTACAACCACTCGCATCATCATCATCAGTATCAAAGAATTTCAGCTTCAAAGTTGAAGCTGGCAGGAAGCATCTGTCTGCTGCACTTTGAAGTTTCTGTTATTAAGTCTGACATCTTGTTGGATCACTCATGCAAAAAGCAGAAAGTGT